TTTTTTAATAATTTTAATGAACAGCTACAGAGATCTTGGATTTCCATTCATTCATTGTTGCACTTTTCTCTCTGCCCCCCCTCCACTTCCAGTTCGCTCTTCTCTTTGGAAAGTAAAAGAAAAATTCCTTCATTGGTATACAATCCCCCCACACCCCCATTCCCCCAAACCAAGTATACTCCACTCTGCAACCTTCATTCCGGACTCTTATGATAATCATAATACCCTCTAATATATTGCTTTTGAACTGTTCTCTCCCTCATCCATTTCAATGCACTATACATAATTTATCCAGTTTTTCTCATTCTTACCCCAACCCTGATGTCAGTCCCATTCTACAGCAGTGGCACTGTGCAGTGTTTGTCCTTTTGTGACTGAGATATTTCATTGAGCATAATGTTCTCGAGGGTCACCCATTTTTAATAATATTGCATGAATTCTTTGTTTTTCAATGCAGTGTAGTATTCCATTGTGTGAATATACCACAGCTTCTCTATCTATTCATTTGTTGATGGGCACATAGGTTGCTTCCAACTCCTTGCATAAACAAAGCTGCGATAAACATGGGTGTGCATATATCTGCTTGGATGTCAGTTATGGTCTCTTTGAGGTATAATTCCAGTAGTGGAATTGCTGGGTCAAATGGTATCTCTATTTGCAACTTTTTGAGAAAGCACCAAACCACCTTCCACAGTGGTTGCACCAACAGTGAATAAGGGTTCCAGTTTCTCCACAACCTTGCCAACATTTGTTGCTTGCTGTTCTGTTAAAATTTTGCTATTCTGACTGGGGTGAGATGATATCTCATAGTTGTTTTGATTCGCATCTCTCTTAGAGAGAGAGATTTTGAACATTTCTTTATGTGCTTGTTAGCCATCTGAATGTCTTCTTTGGTGAAGTGTCTGTTCATATCCTGTGCCCATTTTTTTACTGGATTATTTACCTTTATCTTGTTGTGATGCTCAAGTATTTTATAAATTCTGGATATAAGTCCCTTATCTGATATGTCAATTACCAAATACTTTTTCCCAGTCTGTGGCATCCCTTTTTACCCTGTTGGAAAAGTTTTTGGATGTGCATAGGGATTAGATTCTTAGAAGGTCCCATTCATCTTTTTTATCTTCTCCTGGTTGTAGGTTGAAACATTTCTTAAAATGCAATATTCACTTGAACATTAAAATACATGTTCCTCTGAGATCTTTGGTAGGACTGAGGGAAGCTGTCTTTAAGAATTTCCAACATAATGACTTAAATCTCATAGTCTCAGCATTTAAGTTTGGTGATAAGTACATGGGTGTTGGTGGTTGTTGTTATTTGATGTCAAGCTGCCTTTGACTCATAATGACCCCATGTACAACAACCCTAAACCCTGCTCTATCCTGTGACAATCTTATTGTCTCTGACACATCTGCCCCCATATTATCCCTGTCACAGAATCAATCCATCTCATTGAGGATTTTCTTCTCTTGCACTGTCCTTCCTCCCACCCAAGCATGATATCCCTCTCTAAGAACCAGTCTCGCCTTGCAACATGTCCAAACTATGTCAGACAAAGCTTCTGAATCCTTGCCTCCAAGGAGCAGCCTGGTCTCACTCTCTCTAGGATGAATTTGTTTGTTCTCCAAGCAGTCCACGGTATGTTCAATACTCTGCTCCAGCACCACAGCTCAGAGGCATCAATTATTCTTCTATCATCTCTAGTCATTCTCCAGCTTTCTGATGCATAGCAAGTAATTGCAAAGACTATGGCCTGACGCAGGCCCACTTTATTCTCCAGACTGACGTTATTGCACTTCAGTACTTTGGAGAGGTCTCTAACAGCAGACTATCCAAGTGAAATTAATCTTTTAATTTCCTGGATGCTGGTAACAAGAGTGTTGATTATGGAGCCAAGAAAATTAACGCTGTTAACAATCTCAATCTATTCACCATCTATCATAATGCTGCCAATCAGCCCACTAGTGAGAATTTTTGTTCTCTTGATGTTGAACTTCAGTCCATATTGAAGGCTGAAGTCCTTGACCTTCTTCAGCAACCATGTCCTCCTCAGTTTCAGCAAGCAGGGTTGTGTCATCTGCATAATGCAGGCTGTTAATGAGTCTTCCTCCAATCCTGATGCCACATTTCTCTTCATAGAACTCAGCCTCCTGATAATCTGTTCTGCATATAGATTGAAAAGTTATGGAGAATAGGACACATCCCTGGCATACACCCTTCCCAATTTTGAACCATGCAGTGTTTTCTGGCTCTGTTCTGAAGACTGCCTCCTGTCCAAGGACAGGTTTTGCATGAGCACAATCAAATGTTCTGGGATTCCAAGTCTTCTCAGAGTCAGCCTCATTTTGTTGTGATCCACACAAATGCCTTTGCATAGTGAATGAAACACAGATAGGCACTCCTCTGGCACTCTCTGCTTTCAGCCACAATCCATCTAACATTATCTATAACATCCTTAGTACCACAGCCTCTTCTATACCCAGGCTGCACTTTAGGAAGTTCTCTGTTGATGCACTGTTCCAGTCGTTTTTGAACAATCTTCAGCAGAATCTTGCTTACATATAATATCAGTGATATTATTCAATAATTTCTGCATTCTGTCAGGTCAACTTTCTTTGGAAAGGGGACAAATATAGATCTCTTCCAGTCAGTTGTCCTCCAGATTTCTTGGCACAACTTGGAAAGCACATCCAGGGCAGTGTCTGTTTGTTGAAATATGTCAGTTGGTATGCCTTCAATTCCTGGGGCCTTGTTTTTTGCCAATTCTTTCAGAGCCGCTTGAATTTCTTTCTTCATCACCACAGCCTCTTGCTCATATATTATTTCATGAAATTCTTCCATGTCAGCCAATTCGTTTTGGTAAAATGACTCTGTATATTCTTTCCATCTTCTTTCAATGCTTCCTGGATCATTTACTATTCTTCTCAAAACATCCTTAAATACTCACTATATTATATTTATTTATTTTAAAGTATCAAATATTATTGGATAGGGTAAAAGTGAAAGGATGGTATAGCAAGGTTTCCATACGACAAGGTAAATAATGGCATTGAACAATGGTATTTAATGTTATAAAACAAAGTGCATAGTGAGGATGGGTAGGGGGAAAACCACAGGTTTGCACAGGTTGGTGCATGGAGGGAGGGGGAAAGGAAATGGAAAGGATCTAGGTGAAAAGACACAGTGATTGATTTTATAGAACATAATACATCAGACTGTATGAAACACAAGGTAAATGAAGAACAGCATGAAACATCATTTATACAGACTTTGGAAGCAAACCAATTAAAAGGGGGGGAAAACCCCAAAGTGTATATTAATGATTGAATGAAAACCAATTTTAAAAATCATGAAATACTCAAAGCTTAAAAAGGAAAAACATAGGAATGGTACTGCATTGAGCTCTGTCCAAAAAGGCCAATGGGCGGGGTTTGAAAGCTAAAATAGTTCTAGGGCAGCATGAAGGTGGCAGATTCTCAATGCAGCCCACTCACTCACTGAAGCCCTGTCCAAGAAGGCCAGTGGGCTGGTCCT